TAGTCCCGTGAGGGACTAGATCATATGGAGGTATGATCGGGAGCTACTGGAAGCTCCACTTCGTTGAACAACACGACGGCAAGAAGGGCTATGGATTCAAGGAGTGAAGGCCATGGTACCGCAGAGGCGGGTCTTCTGTGCGTGCATCGAATTTTGAATCGGATGAAAACCTTGGTCATCAGCATATGGGGGCTGTGTTCCACCAAGGGAAAAGTTCGAATGCAAGTACCAGTGAGTCCCATGGGAGGGACTTGATTATACAGAGGTATGATCGAAGCAGTTGGAGAGTTGGACTGCTCCAGAGCACATATTCGCTTAAGGGAGCCCGGCAAGTCAGAGGACAAGGTCGAGTAAACGAACGTTGCTACCAAGGAAGCTAAGGAGAACAAAATCGGTGCAAACCCTACAACGTGATGGCAGAGGCCATGCATGGGAGTTGCAGTCTGTCGTTCCATCGACCAAACGGAGCTGCTTGGAGAACACAAAGGTGTTGAAGCAGGGGGTCGAAAGGGGCGAGGAAGCGACGACGAGTCCAGAGGGACTTAGCTACCCAAAATCAAGCATCAGTTAGAATGGAGGTGGACTCAGAGGAGTGCCACAGAGACATCTACTGATCATGAAGAAAAGGGATGCAGATGCGAGGCGACGGATAGTAGGGCCATGGGCATGGCAGCGCCATGGTACCGTAGAGGGGGGACTTCCGCGAAAGTCTTTGATCCTTTGCTCTCATGGAGGGAGAGCACTTGGTCGTGAAATGGGCCGAGGAGGCGGAGCATGCAGAGGCAAACTCTAAGTATCGTGACAAGGCTGAAGGGCAGAGGCCAAGGAACTTCGTAAGACTTGTGTCAACGAGTTTCTCATCAAGATAGCCGAAAGTGAAGGACTTCGGGTCATGCAAGAGTGCACGACCAAGGAACGAAGCAGGCAGTACGCGGTGGTGTACCTTCGCTACTCAGGGGAGTAGGAGGCAGGGTTGATGCAGAAGACGGCACAATCCCAAAGGCGACCAAATCTATTAGAGAACTACTACAAGTTGGGGTGAAAACTTCCTGCATTCTAGAAGTTCGATGGCATTGAGAAGGTGAATCACAGTAGCTAAGTCAACGCAAGGAGTGCAAACACTTCAAGTGCTTCAGAAGTGTGAGCAAAGAGCAGGCGAAGGCTAGTAACCAGCTCAATGCATGGAGCACAACCTCGAGGAGGCGAGAGAAGTCAAGTAACCTTTGCCTTCTCAACTCTTAAGAGAATAGGCGAAACCGAGTACCCCAATTCTCTTATCTATCCAGCAGAGGAGCTCTGCATATGTTCAAAGACCTTTCGAAGATAATGGAAGACAATAGTTGTCAAATCCTCACCAACGGTGATCAGTATTACTGAGAGTAGATTGTCCGCTTCATTTCCCAACGAAATGCCAATCGAAAGCGGAAGTGATGCGAACCTACTTGGATGTGACAACTAAGTGAAAGAAGAGTTAATGAGTAAATTTTATGGAGGAAGGACCCAAAACTTCATCAGTTTGCGAGGCGTTGCTCGTTAAAGCTCCAATAAGCATCCACCCAATTCAAGCAGCATGAGGCATTTGAGAGACTAGCGCAGTAAGGATGGTCTTTTCCTTCATCTGGAGGATCCGCAGGAACCAACAGGGATCAACACAACTCAGTCAACCCTACACTAGAGTCAGAGTCATTGGCGAGTTGAAGCAGCATGGCGGATCAAAGGTTCGACTACTCAAAAGCAGCAGCGGAGAGCAGCTGGGAGCCAAGAGGTGCATTGCAGCTGGAGCAGAAGATTGAAGACTCAGCAAAGGCGAGGAGTTGCAGTGTCAACAAAGGCTTCGACGAGGACGTCGAAGGAATAAGTGGGGGAGAATGTCACGGACAAACTTCTAAACAGAATGTTTGATGTAATGCTTATGTATATCCGTGTCTTTTGGTATGCTCATGCTCTGCACAGCATGTAGAGGGACGGCCGAAGGCTTAATAGTCCCATTTTTAGTTAGGTTGGTAGCCGCTTTAGGCTTGTAAATAAAGGTTGTATCATGTGGACACGTGTAAGAGATTTTCGGTCTGTAATAGACTATTTTACCCTTTGTTGTGCAACTATTCAGAGCTTGTAAAGTCTGTTTGTAATTTGCATTGTCTATGAAGTGTTTGCTTGTGGATCCCGAGTGAGGCGTTTTCTCTATCCTGTTCTCTCTTTTGGGGGTCCTAAGGGATCATGGGAGGCTTCGGGGAGGCTGACCTTTGCGGACGGACACGCAAGGGTCCCGCACGACTTAGGCAAAACCAGCTAAGTCTGTGACAGGGTGGCACAGAGCTGGACAGGGCTTTTGGGTAGTGTTGGGCCCTTTGCATTCACAAGTTTGTACACAAAGTGTGCATAGACTTGCCTAATACAAACTTAGAGAAACTCTACTACGATGTTTTGGAACTTAATGGAACTTAATGCAAGTTCCTCAAAATGAGCTTAGAGAAACTTTATCAACACCAGCAACAACTCTTTGGGGTAGAGAACTCGCAAGAGTAGGCAAAATCTCGAATCGACACAATGCAATCTCGAGTCGACCAACAAATGGAAGACACCAAAGAGCCCGTGCAACACCTACGAGAAGTAGTGGCTGATCTCACGGCATGAATTACAATGCTCAAAAGAGATCTATATGTAGGAGGGGACAACACATGCATCACTCTGCCACAAAATTTGATGGCACCCAAGCCACACAACTACAGGGGTTCTAGGGACGCAAAGGAACTCAAAAATTTTCTTTAGACGTGGAGAAGTACTTCCAGGCAACGAAGCCTAATTCTGAAGAGACCATTGTTTGTTTTAGAAGAGAATTGGATATCCAAACAATGCTTTCGAACTCGGACACGACCATCGCTTAATAGCTCATCCAACTACTTCCTCATTGGAGGCTTGGGCAGACAAGCCCAAACGAGCAAACATCGTGGCTGATGCCTTAGGCAAAAAGGTGGAATTGGTGAATGCAATGCAACCGAAAGGCTTCCAGCCAAGCGAGTCAATTGCAATCCTACTTTCTTTCCAAGATCAAGGATAGACTGTACAATGATCCCTAGATAGTAACCTCGATGCAACTGATCAAAGAGAGTAAGGCTCGATAATTTTAGGTCCCAAAGGGACTTGTCTACACCTAAGGGAATAGAGTTTATGTTTCATGAGCAAACAATTTGACGCATGAACTCTTGAAAGAGTGTCACAATTCCCAATAGGTGGGGCATTCAAGTATCTATGAAACTTCGACTCTAGTAGAGAGGACCTTTTGTTGACTAATGCTGAGGACTGATGTGAAGGTATATGTTCGGACGTGCCTCACATGCTAATAAGACAAGGTGAAGCAACGAATGTCATGGAACAATACAAACTAGGTATTCGACGCTTTGCAGCAATGTTCCCACAGCACAATAATTCTCTCACGTAGAAGAGGCAAAAGTTAAAGGGCAGCCTGAACGTGATAAAGACACTGAAGAAAGAGTGGCCGAATTAAAACTATGGCTCAACCTTGTCAACCGAAACTTGACGGGTGTTTGACGCATGTCCATGATGCATTTCGGCTCTTTTGTTTTATATTTTCGAGTGTTTTTACGAAGTACATGATAGAAAATACTATTAGACAACCCTATTTTGGTTTGTTTTCTTTTTCTATCTTGTAAAACTCGAAAACGTTTTTAGTTGTGTAGTGCCATACAAAGGGGAAAATAGCCAAAACAACCCCATTCTCGTGTGCCACAAGCTAATTTCTAATCGACAGCCACGCGATGTGAAATGTCAGTTGTCTCAACACCTTAGAACCCTTGGGTGGCACCAGGGCAGATGCCGCCTTGGTTACATGTCTAAGAGGTGAGGCAACATCTTTAGTGTGTCCGCTTTTTGTTCAACGAAAGTGTTTGGTGAACATTAGGCCTTCAAGACCCCCTTCTGTGTGTAACCATTCAGCCCATTTTTAAGAGCCTTTTGTGCCTAATAAAAGTTGATTACTTTAAGTTGCTTGTGATCCCAAATATTGTACTCTTTTCATGTGCAATGGTAGCATATTACTCGTATATTCACCATGTGCAATGGTCCACAAGTCCTTTGTGGACCACACAAGGTTAAGGTCTACGTTGACCCTTGCGGACAAATATCGCTGGGGTGTTGCACGCCTTAAGCAATCCCATTTAAGGACGTGACAAAGTGATATAAGAGCAAATCAAGCAAACGCGTGGCAAAACTAACACGCTGTACAAAAGAGGCAACAACAGTGCATGATCATTCCTAAGAAATAGTCTCTTTCATTCTCTTCTTCTGTCTTCCTGAGTCCCATATTCGTCTACACTTCAAACAAACCATTAAGCATCAGAGGGACTGAGTTAGGTTTCCTTGACCTAGGTCTTGTTGTAGGATCCCAGACAGTGTTCAGGAGCAACATATACCAAATCGGCATCCAAATCAACACCCAAATCCTCCTCGACAAAGTCCTCAACGACGACCACCTAGCATCTCAGGCCAATTGATTCGCTCCCACTCAAGCCCGAACCCAACCATGTCACTCCATCACTGCCATACCCCAAAGGACCAACTTTAAGGTCAACAATATTCACTTTCCATAAGATAACTAATCAAAGCATATTAATGTCTCTCTGCATAAACTTATTTTAATGAAAAGTCCAATAAAACTTAAAATTATACATAAATGATTTTCTCCAACTACTAAAATAAGGTGGATGACACAAGATCGAGTTCCAACTAAAATATCACCATATTGATTACTTACTAAATGTGCAAACTACTGCAGTAAATTATAATATTGTGATGTTTCCAGGCATTCAAGATTTTGTGGTGCTCATGCCGAATAACTAATTCACTTAAAAGGCACAAAGTGCAAACTAGGTCGACTAGCATGGTACACAGGTTCATCCAATGACGTCAGCCTGCAAACCCTGTGATCTAAAGGAACTACAAAATGCAGAATAAGCAAACCTGAAAGAACATATGTCACGAACCTGAAAAAGAATCAGCACTCTCAATCCTTGATTTTGTATCATTTGGAGAATCTTGTCAAGTACTAGTAGCTTGCCACTTGCATTTACCCCAATATCTAAATATTCAGTCACTGGAAGACCTCTGGTAAGTGAGCTTTGCAAAGATTCATCAACGAGGTAAGGATGGTCACAGCACTGCCATAAAAATAATAATTGAGATAACAGAGAGATAATATTAGCTTCCTATTTATTCACTACCAACATTACACTACATGATCCCAATAACCAAATAGTATCTGGCTGCCAACCTTTCTGGTTGATATAAGAATGTTACCAAGGGCTCCAACTAGATCAATTTTTGAACATGAACAAAGAGGTATGGCATTTGAAATCAGAGTAGCACAATATTGTTCCAGCTGCACATTAGAAAGCTGAACAGGAACCCAGTACTCCAAAAACTTAGAGGAATCTGGTTTACGGTCATAAGCAAGATTTTGTGACAATCTCTCTTTCAATAAAGCAAGTGTGCCAACAACACCAACAGAATCAGACTTCATAATGCATCCCAAATTCCCATCAGTCCCTAGATCAAGGAACAAGAGCAGGTTGAGGTATTCAGCAATATTGTCCTGAAAGTTCCAACAGTTCATTAGACATTATTAGAGTTTCGGAAAAATCATATCAGCATGAAGGATTGATACTTCTACATACCTTCAAATGACCACTTAAAAGAAGCAGCCTGAAGGAAGATGAAAGACGCTTAAGCAGTTCCAAATGCTTAAACACTCTAGAATTTTGGCACTCATCAACAAGGAGAGCTTCCCAGGCAATGCATTCTAGTGTTTCAAAATCCTGAATATTAACCAGGATCACATTAAAAAACTGGATTTATGTATTGTACAAATAATATGCGAAGATTTATATAGCAAATGAGAAATGTTGGGTCCATCTGAATTGCGGGAAGCATGCAATAGAGCATTAAGCTGACATGTTATAACTCAACAGCTAAGTAGAAAACAAACAAACAAAGATACCTCAAGTATAGCATCAGGGTGTGACAAGAGCACTTGAAACATTATGCAACCACCTCCCTGATAAAATTCAAGAGATTGAATCATCTTCCGGACATCCTTGCTCCCATTATAGACAACAAGATTGATAGAAGGTGCCAAGCGATTAAACTCAGTCTCCCATAAGGAAAGAGAAGTACAAGGTGTGACAATGAGAAAAGGCCGACAAGCATAAGATAGCAAGGAAAATATGAATAAAATGGACTTCGTAACCCGCTCCTACAAAATAGAATCAATCAAGTTAGGCACAAAAAATGTACATACCTAAAGCAGACAGATTGTTGACTCTTACATTTACTTGAGCAGTAACTGTAAATCTAATAAACTAAAATATCACAAACAATCATAAGACTAAACCACAAAGAGGTAAATGAAACAATGCTTCATGGTATATAGAGGAACTTGATCTCCAAAGGCATCGATATTTAACAAACAGACAAGAGACAATTGACAATAAATACAGAAACGAAGCTATTGATTTAAGTAAAATATCTTTCTTATGGTGCAGATGCATGATCTTAACCAATGCAGAAATAATGTTTAAAGAAAAGAATAACTAAAATCTAGAAAATCAAATTTGTATATAAGAACAGAACGAAAATTGCATAAGTGAATATTAACCACTAGAGGTTGTCTAATGAGGGTTAAAAGAAAAAGATACCCTTTCTATTTATGGTCCACGACTAAAAAAATGGACGATAAGAGTAGAAGAACCAAAGCAAGCAAGTAATTCGAAGTTCAGACAGAAATAACCAGCCAAGATCTACACTCCTAGTAAAGTTCTGTGAAGCTAGCTCAAGAGTGAGAAGCTAACAAGTTAGACTATATCACGAGAGCTAAACATATTAGATTCAAAGATGGTAAACAAACTCATGGATCTTAGCCACCATAAAGATTAATTTAGCCACTCAAACAAATTTGACCTTACCTCAGAACCACGCTAAGATCAATAAAGTTAAATACAAATAGATCCATGAGGAGTGTGTTGTCATTCAAGCTTATAATGGAACACTGTGTCAATCAAGTATCTTAGTCTTTGAAACTGAAACTGGTCCACAATGAATTTAAACATAAAAAAACAAAATTTTGCCAAGATCACTTGCAAGATCATATGATCTTATGTGAATTCAATAATGCAACAATGCCTCAGTCAGTGAAACTAATATAAACTGATAATCATGAAAGTCAACCACGACAAAGACACCAAAGAAGCAAATATCAGTAGGCAATAAATAATTATATAAACTACTAAAAATAGTTTCTTTGATGATCATAATGTCTGCTGATGTTCTTAAATTGGGTGTAGCAGTCCTGGGTTTTAGCTGTTGCATCACATTCTTCCCAGAAGCAGATATCTCTATGCATCATGTAAATTTGGCCAAGTATCACTCAGAGGAATTTCTGAATACTGAACAGAACTATATCTTAATTACTTTTTCTCAAAATTAACCTTGTATCGCATAAACATGTACATAGAATCAAGGATTTTAATTTCGAATAATACCACCTGGTACATAGAATCAAGGATTTTAATTTTGAATAATACCGCCCATACCGGGCGGTACATACCGGTCTGCGGGCAGATTGGTACGCGGACCGCCCGCTATCGGGCGGTACCATTGATTGGGGCTGTTTCCGCCCCATTACCACCCTAAATCGGTCGGTGACGATCGATTTCGACCATCGCCGCCCGCTATCGGGCTGTATTAGTTGAGGGAGAAGAAAGAAGAGGGAGAACCTAGAGATCCGACGCCGCTCTCCCTCGTCTGAGGCGACGAGGCCTCGGTGACATCGCGGGGAGAAGAAACCGAACATCGTCGAGGCGACGTTTCTTCTCCCACGTAAGCAGAAGAAACAAGGCGACGTCGCCTCGTCGCCCTTTTTTGCACGGAAAGAAGAAAACCTTCATCCCACATGGGCAAAAACCTGAGGCGACGTCGCCTTTTTTTTTAATTATATATATATATATATATAAGTAAAAAAA